TATATGCTTGGCAGGGAGTTGTCTGAACTAACCCATGGTAGATGCCACTGTGTGCTAAATCCTATCCATTTTATGAAAATAGGTGCCTATATCCAAGCTGCAGAGAGATACCTAATGATTTTTGGGGTGAACCCTTTTCTGGAGTTAGGCTCCTATGCCATTTTAGCAATAAGCTAGGGGAGGACAAGAACTTCCCTCCTAACTTTTATCTCAATGGTTAGGGTGCTCACCAGTGATGTGGGAAACCTCCAGTTCAAGTCCCATCTCCCTCTTCATAGGTCATGCATGTTCTTACCACCAGGCTACAAAGTCAGGCTGTCACTGTTTCATGTACTTTCACTCACTAGCCCAAATGATTCTTTAATTAGTTGTACCCAGAGCAACAGTTTCACCAGAAGGGGCAGCCATACATCAGAATATCCTATAGTACAATTGTTAAGGCACTCAACTGAGGGAGGGGTGACATACCTGTTCAAACCACTTCTTCCCCTCAGGCAGAGAAGGGACTTGAACTAAGGGTCTCCCACATCTCAAAGTGAGTACCCTAGCCACGGAGCTTAAAGTTTTGATGGAGCATCTTCTCCTTGTCCCTGCTTCCCTCCCCCCCCCGCCCCCCAGATGTTTTGTATAAACTGGGGCCCAGTCCAGCACATGGATGTAGCAGAGGTGCAGTTAAACCCAGAATGATGACAAATTACATTTCCTTTTTGAGAAAAAGAACCTGAGATTCAGGACTGCTGAGTCCTATCCCAATTCTGAACAACCTTGGGTAAGGCACTTGCACTTTCTGTGCTTCTCTTTATTCACCTGTTAATAACTAATACAACTTGCTTCCCTCACATATTGTAATCTTTAGTAGCCATTTGTTAAGGTGCTTTGAGATTCTTGAATGATAAATATATGGGCCTGATCTTTCAAATTCTTCTCCATTGATTACATTGGCACTACATGCATGAGTTAGGATTTCTAGAACTGGGATCTAAAAGAGAAATAATTATAAGTTCTCTAAGCAATACATGTACTTCTGCTTTGTCAATAATACAGAAAGTGTTCTCTCTACCAGGCCAAAGAGAAATACCAGCAGGGAAGTGGAGGAGTAACAGAAAGAACTAGAACACTTTCTGAGGTAAAATATGTTCTCACGTAATTTGTGTTATGATTTTAATTCTCAAAAGGTCACCAATCTTTCATTCATTGTTTTCTAACTTCTAGAGTAGTCCACTGGGCATAGTCATTTGACACTTTTATGTTACCATTTTATGAAATAGGATTTTTTGACATAGAACTTTTTCATATCAATGTTTAGAATTTGTTCATTACTGAAAGTGGCTTAGAAATCTAAGTGCAGTATTGAGAGACAGAGTCTGAAATTTTAGCCCCATCTCGGCTACTGATTCTTTCTGTGAGATGGGCAAGCTACTTCACATCTCCACCATAGTTTTCCTTATCTGTAAGGACAGTAATATGTAAATAAAATATTGATTTTACTTACTTCCTTACGGCTATTGAGGATTAATGCTTTAATATTTGTAAAGTACTTTAATATTTATTTTTATTTAAGAAGTTAACATTTGGTACAGCAAGTAAAAAAAATTTCCAACAAAAAGGTTTTTATCAGAAGATGTGGTTTTGTTCAATTTTTCTAATGGAAAATATGACATTTTATTTATCTGAAGCATTATTTTAAAACCAGGTGTTTTGTTTAAAAATGTTTATGTGGAAAATAAAAATATTTTGTTTAAAAACATCTATTTGTTTTGTTTGCAAATGTCAATCTTTTGTTTCAACATTCCAAATCAAAAAATGTTATGTCACTTAATAATTTTACTGTTTAGACTTTAAAAAACCTTAACCACTAGAAGACTAAAGTTCTGTAATAGCCCTATCTCATAACACCACTAGAAAACATTAGAAACTGTCAATATTTATTAAGTTTTTTTTAAAAGGGCAAAAAAACATGACACACACAAAGCGGGTCATAGATCATAGAATCATAGGACTGTAAGGCTATGTCTACACTGTATTGTAAACTGGAAACAAGGTTACCAGGATGCTAAAATAGCACGTCGGCTATATTTCGGAATAGCGGACGCATTCAGAAGACACTGGGTAGCTATTTTGGGATACCAGAATATCCCAAATTGATGTGTAGACATACCCTAAGGGACTTCAAGAGGTCACCTAGTCCTGTCCCTTACATTCAAGGCAGGACTGCCTATCATAACCCATCAAACCATCCCTGATAGACATTTATCTAACCTACTCTTAAATATCTCCAGAGATGGGGATTCCACAACCTCCCTGGGCAATTTATTCCAGTGTTTGACCACCCTGATAGTTAGGAACTTTTTCCTAATGTCCAACCTAAACCTCACTTGTTGCAGTTTAAGTCCGTTGCTTCTTATCTTATCCATAGCGTTTAAGAAGAATACTTTTTTTCTCCCTTCTCCTTGTAGCAGTCTTATATATATTTGACGAAATGGGTGAGGTGATATCTTTTATTAGTCCATTTTCTCTTGGTGAAAAAGACAAGTTTTCAAACTAGAAGCTCCATGGAGCCTGAAAGCTTCTCTTTCACTAACACAGGTGGGTCCAATAAAAGAAGTACTTCATCATCTTGTCCTTGTAGTACAAATCTGTCTTCTGAAGTGTAGGGCCCTTGCAGAATTATGCCTTTTTAAAATAATATTTGTACAATTATATTTAATCTTATGTTTTTAATATTGCCTCATCCTAAAACCAGAAGTAATTTTTAAAAACAAAACACCATTTGAACTTGAAATTTGTATGATCTGCTTGTGCTTTAGTAATTAGTGTGTGGCTTATAAAGAATAATACATGTCTGTGTGGATATTCAACAATATTCTGATCTCTGCTGCACCAGTGCATATCTGGAGTAAAGCCAGGTACAATTTAGATTTTCATGAGATAGCTGTGATCAGAACTTGGCCTAGTAGAACATACCTGTACATCTTAGGTGTGCAGTGAATATGTTTTTCTCCCTCTGAACATATTGAAATATAGAGGTAAATGTGGTTTAGTGGTTCCAACCTATTCATTTCCTTGTCATGGTCAAAGTTCTTTATTAGCCAACCCGGTTGCAGCCTTTTCACAATCAGTGCTACAGACACAATATTACTGTAAAAGCAGACCTTTCATTGTACAATACCAGTGCTGATTTTTTGTATTTTTATACAGAGACATCACAACAAAATATGTACACATGCCAGCAACTTTCATTGACTACCTTTTTATTCTGATACCTTCTCTCTGGATTCCTTATCCAACCTGATTTTTGCAGTAATCACTATCACCTGGCAAACCACTTTCTAGCTCAGAAAACACAATACTTAGTCTTTTGTAATATAGATAGACATACTACTCCATCAGCCATTCTATTAGGAGAATAGTGCTTCTTGACTTCTGTCAGTTACTGAAATTATTATTACTGTATAATGAGAGAACCTTCAAAATAGTAACTCAAAGAAACTGTCAAAATGCTGCTTGTTGCATGACTTGTATTGCTGTTCTTTTTTCACATTAAAAATCCATCCTGGTATTAGTAGTTTGGCATTGAAAAGTATTATTGTTCTATTTATGGAGCTGAGCACAGATGAGTCATTTTGTAAAACTAATGTATTTATTCAGAATTTTGTAAATTGAAGTTCAAAAAAATGCACAATTACAATCGGTTTCTTCAATTTCAGATCACTGAAGTATTAGAGAAAATAAAGCAGGAAATGGAAGAAAAGGGAAGCAGTATGACTGATGGAGGTAAGTACACACTTTCCTCAGAAAAATCTCCCATGACCTGAGAAACAAGTATACATTCAGGCCTAGGTTAAGCAAAAATAGTCTGGCATGCAAAAAATAGAACAAATGCAGCAATCCGTTACTAAATAGGTGAACACATGAGGAGTAAAATTTTCAGATTCCTAAGTGTGTTAGGAGCATAAAAGCTCTATTTAAAAAAAAAACAACAAAAAAAACCAACTGTCTAAATTGCATTGGGTTCCCAAATTTGGTTTTCTGAGAATTTTATAATAAAATTCTCAGAAAATTCATGGGCTCTCTTAATTTGAATAACTAATCCACTTTTGGTAATGTAAAGACCCAATGCTGCTATTTAAATGTTTAATACCATCATATTGCTCATGGCAGGAAGCATTGTATTTGGTGGTAAGTGTTTACAGGATTGGGCCTTTGCTGGTAGAAAAATTCTTTCTACTTCTGATGGCTGAACTGTTTCTGTTTTAAATAGGTTTATATAACTTTTAGAATCAAAATGGTTTGCTGTCTTAAAGACTATTTTGGTTGATAAACCTGCTCCATTTCAAATATTAAAAAGAATTGTGGTGAAGACATAGAAGGTATCAGACACCTGAATAGGGTTAAGCACAGGGGCCGCAATTGTTTTTAATTACTGATGCCTAACTGGTACAAACCACTTGCAGTAGCTATCTCACCTGGAAGTAAAAACCCTCTCCTCACTTCAGACTTAATCACCTGGTCTCACTCCATCCCCTGTGCCCAATGACAGTAGTGATGGGTAGAACAATCTCCAGAACCTGCAGCTTGTAACTCCCCTATTCCCACCCTCTATCCAACCCCGTCCCCACATGACTTGCTCCTCAGATAGCGGTGTGGAGGGGTGAAGAAGCAGCCTCTGCTTTGCAGAGGTAAAAGCAGGTGAGAGGAAAAAGGGATATCCCAAAATGGGGTATATGGAATACTGCCTCAGCCTCTCCTAGCTGATGTCTTCCACTGTCATCTGCTGATGGGGTTTGGTGGAGCAGCAAGCATTCAAGACACCAACTGAGAGAAAAGAGTGAGCGTTATTGCTGTGCAAAAAATATTAAATAGGAAAACCTGCTCTCGTTTTTATGCACATTATTAGATCCAACACGTCAAAAAGGCAGCAAAATTATTACCACTTATTTCTATTTTAAATGTTATGTGTGTTGAGAATGATGTCTCAGTAACATCACGTCTCCAGAATATAAGATTCTTTTGTTCACTCTGCAGTTAGCAGAGGGAGTGAATTATAAGAAAAGTAATGCTTTTCAAGTACAGGAGACTAACGCTTTTTTTTTTTTAACAGCTCCTTTAGTGAAAATTAAGCAGGCCTTAACCAAACTGAAGCAGGAAACTGTTCAGATGGACATACGGATTGGCGTAGTGGAACACACATTACTCCAGTCAAAGCTGAAAGAGAAATCCAATATGACTAGAGATATGCATGCAACTATGATTCCTGAAACTACAATAGGTGCCTATTAAAGTTGTTTGGAATTTACTTGTATTTCAGACACACCAAATGTTTTTATAACTTGTTTTTTACATTATGCTTGTTGTGCAATTTAGAGTGTTGCAGATGTGTACATAGCACTTTAGGCTCTATAAATGGAGCCATGCTGAATTTTGTGACATGAATGCTTTCAAACTTACTGCAGGTTTTTATAAATACATTAATAAATTCTCATTAACTAACTTGTCTCTTCCACTGTTCTGTCGTATGTTAAATAGTATAAAAGTCTATTGACACAGCCTATAATCTTCAAGCCTTGATTAGATATTCTTTGCTGAAAGAAAATTACTTGTGGAAGGGTTGAAAAGAATTTAAAATGTCTGCTTTTTATTTCCATTTACATATGATTAACATTGGAATTTAATTGCTGACATTGGAATAATACAACACTATCCTTTCTAGAGACCTGGGTTAAATCTGATTCTGGTTGCAAGTGCAAGTAAGTTGTTTGGTCCCCTCCCAACTCCTAGTTGAAGTTATGCACAGAACAAAATAACCTCCTTGTCTGACATAATTGGGAATGATTGATGGATTGTGCTAAGGAGGTTTCGATGTGATTAGCAAGGCTATTGTAAGACAAAATCTCAGTACTTTGCAAGGCAGCTGTTAGCCTCATGATTCCATCAGGACTGGTGTCCCTCACTTTGAATAGCATGACACTGCACTTGAAAAATGCTTAAAACTTTGCTTCTATTCCTGGCTCTGCCATTGACTTGCTGTGTTACCTTGTAGTGTTCATGTAACTTCTCTATACACCAGTAAAATTGATCTATAAAATTGTGATAATGATCATTAAAGCTCTTTATATTGGTTGTTGAGATCTGTGGATGACAAATGCAAAAGTTTATTTAATTGAAGCCATGTATTGGCAATATTTTATGAGAGACTGTGAATCTATGTGTAGTCACAATTTGGGAAATTTGAGTTTGGTGGGATGTGCCTTCCTCGGTCTTATGGGTTGAACATTATGGTGTATGTCATTGGAAAGGTTATTTTGTAGTAGTTTAACCTGTAACCTTTCTGCCTTAATCAGATGTGTATTCTTAATGCACTGGTTCCTGAAATAAGTACTTCCCCTAGTTTCTTTCTATAAGGTCATATCACCATAGCTACATACCTGTATATGTGAGCACAGCCATTAGTAGCTCTTGGACGGTGAGAAAAGAGTGTCATCCTATGCAGGATTGCTGCCACTTCTCCCATACAGAGGGGTGGGTTGTGGGAGAGCCTTGGCTCCACACCTCATCAAGCAGGTCTGCCATGTCTTGTTGGTGTAGAGGAGGAAGTAATGGGTGTCAAATATCAGATTCATACAGATTACTCCTTTCCTGGAGCAATGGGGGAGCTCAGGACTAGACTGAGACAGTCCTAGCCTCATCGCAGGGTAGCCCAGCTAAATCTTGCCACTAACTCAAGTTAAGAGCAAAGCCCTAAGTAAAAGAGTAGATGCATGACCCCTTACTTTTTACTATTATTCCTCCATGAGTGTTCCTCTAGTTTGCATATGGTTTGTTGTTAGGTGCTGACATTTCAGAATGCCCAAAGCCCCATTTAGCAGATACATCTGAATTAAACACAACTTAAAAACAGATTGGTTTTATGGTGTTTTTTCTTAAACGTGATCACCATAGCTTGACCCTACTTTCCCTTAATTTGCATGGGGCTGGATGCTGCTCTGTTACACCATCATAAACGCAAAGTAACTCTCTTTACCTCATTAACTGTTCCTAATATACATCACTATAATTGCAATCAGGCCCCCTGGTAGTCAGAAATGTTGTGATGTCCAATTGGGGTATGTGAAGCAGAAAGAGAAATGCAGGAGGAAACAAGCATAGCAGCAGAGATGCCTCTCCTCCTGTGAGAGATTAAGACTGACAGTGGTTTTGATGGCAGTAGTGATGAAAGAAACTTTGACCTGGAGTAAATAACTACCCCTACTAAAGCACTATCGTGTAATATTAATTGTGTACTGAGTATGTGCCAGCTACATTACTGGAGTTGTGTGACATTAAATACAGCTAATGAATATATCCATGTTTCAGTGTCCTTTCCAACCATTAGAATAGCATAAAAGTAACCTCATCAGTTTAATAATATTTGCATGATCATGTGGCATGCTCACATGACTCAGTCAGAACCCGTTTTGACTTGATATCTGACCTTTTGGCAAGTTTCTTACCTTTGTGCCTCAGTTTTCCCATTTATAAAAAAATCCAGGTAACCACCATTCTTACAGAGTAGTTTTGTAGATGAAAAGCATCATACAAATGCTAGGTATTATAATTAGCTGCACAGAAATCAATTGAGTCACACTGGAAGCCAATTTTCAACCTCTTTTTCTGCCTGCCAAAATCTTCCCACCTTCGGCTTAATTTAGAAAAGTTGTCATTCATTTTCCCTCCTGAATCCACTGCTATATAGAGCTGCTGCGGCATATGATGCCTCAAAAATCTGAATTTCACTCAGGGATAGAGTAATCACATTCTATACAGTCTGACAAGCTCATGGAGATCCTTTTTAGTATTGACTGTGACTGAATAAAGGGGGTGGGTGGGTGTGCACACTCTCCTCTCCCTGTTGTGCTGCTATTAATCAGCTTGCATTTGTGGAAAAAATGGTGATGGAGAAAACCTCCCTTTTACATGAAACAAGGTTCTGAGGTCTCAGCAACTTCTCCTGGAAGGCTGAATGAGCTAAATAAACATCACATGGAAAGCTCAACATCTTGGTGTAAAGATATTTTCATGTAAAGGAAGGAACAATTAGTTTGTACAAAAGTTACTTTATACTGAAGTAACAGAAAATATAGCTGCTGGGGGAGTGTTTTTGTTTCTTCACAAATGAAAATGAGGGCCCTACTTTTGCACTTTGATCATTGAGAAATTACCATTTATATTTCCATATCCCATATTGATATGTGGCCCTACTTTACAATCTGATCAGTGCAAACAGCTGATGAGCCCTGCATAGCAACGCGGGCACAATTTTGCTTTAAAGGCATTTTTATTGAGCCAACAAATAGTTCCAGTATCCTCCCTATAAGCAGAAGGATAGTGAGGGAGTTCTGCCTTTGGCAGTGTGAAAGTCTGCTCTTTAAAAAAAAAAAAAAAAAAACCAATTAGCCATGTCATTTATTTTTATGGATGAATCAATGCAGGAAGCAGAAACAACATTAAAGCTAAATCAGTCACTTCACATGAGGTTCATGTGCAATGCTTGTATCAACACAAAAGATTCAGTACTTATAGCTAATAATGAAATTAAGATATGGTGGTTTTTTCCCACTCAAATAATGCACTGTTTTGTGAAGCTGCAGCAGCTGTCCTGGAAAGTGACACAATATATCCTTGTTCCAAAGCATCTTTTATAACTGTGGGGGCAGAAGTATAATTAATAACATTAATATTTAGCATTTATGCAAAACTCTCCTCTTCCAAAGTGTGTTATAAGCGTCAGCTGTCTGAAATAGTACAGAATGTAGAAAACATCTAATTAGAATAAGCAGTATCTGAAATTGTCAGGTCTAGGGACGCATTGTGTTTAGAGTTGGAGCAGTGAGCAAGGTCTGACAGAGAGGTACCAGGAGTGCTTGCGGTGCTTGGATAGGGAAGACAAAATCCCTTTCCTTGTGATCATGAGCACCGCTACAGGCTAGTGCTGCCAATCATTGACCCTAGCTGGACGAACATAGAAGGCCCAGCCATCAGGGCCTTACTATCGTGTAAGATGTGTCCTGGAAAATGTACATGTGGTGGAGCTGAAAACCTAGTGTTTGTTCCCCTAGCCAAAAATCCTCCTAGGGCTCCTTCTGCTGTCAAGACTCTCTAAGCCGCATCAAATGACTGACTGTGTTTCTGGCATGATACAGCGTACAACATCTTGCTGCTTACACTCAGTTTCAGGCTAGAAGGCTCTGAGTGTAAGGGTGTGTCTACGCAGTAAAGTTCTTTCAGAATAACGGCCCTCATTCTGAAATAACCATGCGAGTGTCTACACAGCAATTGCAATATTTTGAAATTATTTCAAAATAACCGGAGGCTTATTTCAGCCTCAATCTCCAAGGAATAACGCCTCTTCCGAAATAGCTTTGAAATAGGGGCTGTGTAGACAGGGCAGCTGCAGTTATTTCAAAATAAAGAGCCTCCAGCTCTTCCCAGGGTGCCCTGCTGGCCACTCTGTCTGCACTCAGCCAAACTCTATAGTCCCCCCTTCCCCTGGAGCCCTTAAAGCTGCAGCCTCGGGAAGGGACTTGTGGCAGACAGGAGGCCCTGAAAGACCTGAGCCACCCTGCAGCTGCCACTACCATATATTTGGCAAAATGAGACAGTCTGCTGCTCCCACCCAGCCCTCCACCTCTCCCAGGGAGCAGTCAGACAGCTCCCAGGAGCCTGCCCATGTGCCTTCCTGGTCTGGTGCGGAGATCCTGGACTTCACTGAGGTCTGGAGCGAGGAGGCTAACCTCCAGGATCTCCGCACCAGGAGCAGGAACGTGGGTGTCTATGGCCAGATGGACAAGAGCATGGCCAACAAAAAGCACATCCGCAGCCAGGAGCAGGTGCAGATGAGAGTGAAGGAGTTCTGCCAGGCATATGCTAGGGCCTGAGAGCACAGCTCCCATTCTGGGGCAGAACCCCACACCTACCCTTACTATGAGGACCTGGACCGCACCCTGGGGGGCAAGGTAGTCCATTCCCCCCCTCTGGTAGTGGACTTGGAGCTCGAGATGCCTGTCGTCATCCTCCTGGGGGACAGGCGTGGAGAAGGAGGAAGAGAAGGAACAAGACGAGGCCACCACTGTCACCCTCCTGACCCTGAACCCAGTACCCCCACACTCTGGATGTGTCCCAGGCATCCTCCTAGGCCGAGGAATCCACATCAGGTGAGTGCCATCACGATCCCTACACACACAGGGTGAGGGCGCAGGAGGTGAGGGGCTGGTGCCTGCTACTCACTTGGCCTTTGCAGCCTGGGGAATCGCGCAGCAGCCTGTGCACATGGGAGCATGTGGAGTGACAAGCCAGGGCACACAGCCCCAGCAGGGTGCACCAGAGGACACTTATGCTATTGGCCATAGGGTGTCCGGAGAGGCCTGCCATGCTCATGACACCGGGGTGGGACACCGTCCCTCCATCACCCACCACTAGAAGGAGACTGGGGACATGGACACAC